CACTTTATCTACCCTTACGGATAAAGTGATCACTTTATCTATCATTTTTACTGCCTTTGGGTGAATTCTTAAATCCTCTCTGCTTAAAACCTCTCCTGCAATCTGAAATGTGACTAAAAATTCCTTGATCTTTTTGTTGCTTGTCAAATAAATAAACACCGAATGGCCAATTGATCATACAAAGTGGGCCATTAGCGTGTGGAGGGAAGATTGTGGGTTTATCAACGCACATATTAAAAATTCATTGTCGAAGCATGTTCCAATAATAATAATAATGTATTTATTTGTCCAACAGAAAGAAATTCCAATAATAGCACAAAGAAAAAATTTACACATAGCAATCTAGATATGGTATGTTTCAATTTTGTGTCATTACTTAAGATTAACGCGGCAATAGTTTTTACTTTCCTCACTAAAGGGGAAAATCACATTTTCTTCACCCTTTTTAGAGACGAAAGTTTTTATTTCTAAAGTAGTGTCAGAAAAATGTCTATTCAGCATTCTGTGCCAGATATTAAGAGACTCTTTTCTTTAATGTAGATAGATATCTCACCCTTCGTTTGTATAAACTATACGTGTTATTAAATTTGCTTTTCGGCGTTAAAATATCTATCGGCCAAATTCCTTTTATAATTATTTAAACACTGCGAATTACCTTTGGGCAATTTTCTACTGACCCGTTTGGGGGCGAGTATCTGCTAAGTGAATTTTCAGATGAGAATATATTTCGAAGAGAATTTCCCGGGATGATCATTCTGGGGTCCATATTAATTCTAAATAATTGACATTATAATAACCTCATATACTTGAGGATAAAAGAAGTTCTTATTTAATCAGGAATGACACGTGTACTACTCCATTTGTTATTTCGTATGATGAAAGTAAAGATTCGACTTTTTGAGTGATATATACTCGCATTCTCTTTATGTATATATTTTATGCATAGTATAGAATGTTACGGTGCAAGTGATTTATGTGGGGATTATTCATAATCACCGAAAGCAAGGAGACATTGATTTAAAAAAAGAACCACCTGGGGATCGCTTCTTTTCCTAAATTATTGACATTAATCAGCAATTAATAATAACACCCTAATTAATTACTTTAACCGCAACATATACATGAAGGAGAATGCTCTGTAAAGTCGCACAAAAATTTAACTTATACAATGGGAATATTAAACAAGTATAAATTGTACACAACTCTTGTGCAGATAAAGCGCATTTTTTAAACCGAAATAGCTTATTAAATGCTTGGGTTATAAGGTAGTAGCATGCCATCGATGTTTACTTTCTTGGTAGATGATTAATGGAGAGGAATCTCTGTACACATAAACATTTAAAGGTTCTGGAGATATAAGGGATATAGGTGGAGGAGGAGGACTGTGGTAGGTAGAAATTCTCCTAGGGGCAAGGCGCGCGTCTTCGTGACGTAGTCGACTTTGGGCGTCCAAAAGTTTCTACACTGAGCGAAAAGTATTGTTTAAATTTAACAAATCAATTTGTTTAGGCCGCATTTATTTATCGTTACCTACCGTTTTTAACTTTTAAGATCGTTTATTAAACAATAAGATAGACATTCTTTAATATATAGAAAATCATATAGTATCTGTCTGTATTTTAGATATTAATATA